TATATATATATATATATAGTAATCTACGCACGTCGGTGTAGCCGTGCCATATATATACAGCGACCAAACCAACGACGTATATTGTAGGGGGGCTTGGAAAGCAAAAAGGGGGACAAAGACAGATCCTAGCAACAAAGCGCGAAAAGAAAAGACGAGACAAAAGCTGCCCCGCTTCCGCCATCGCTCTGTGTGTGTGTACGTACATACACACATACTGCAAGTATATATGCATACGTTGTGCCACTCGACGTTGCGCATAGCGAAGCTGCTATACACGATTGTGGAGTTTCGCCGATGGCAAAGGAGAAAAGAAAGATTTACCAACTGCATTTCCGCGCAACTAGGCCACGCGCCGATAAGACACGCGACTCCCTTTCATCATCTCCATGCATTCGAGAGGTCCATTTAGCGATTTACATCCAATGCCACACTTCACGGACATTCGTGAGATTATTATTGCCCCGTGCGTACACTTATACCGATATGGGATTTGTACCACTCGTGATTCCACGTATTAGTTTATTTCGTCATCGTGACCGCTCGGTAAATCGCTATGTTTTACAGTTATTTTTTACAAGTTTAATCATACGGTATCGACTGCGATGAGAACAACAATAAAATTTATTCGACCTTTGATCGGAACGAAGAATTTTAACTCAGTGTTAAGGATAATGGGATGTTGGGTTTATCGCTGCCGATCATCGATTTATCACGAAAATGCCTGGCGGTCAGCCCTTCAAACCACGTGTACGGAACAGCCCTCATTCGCGTCGAACGGAGCTCGAAAAATGGACCAAAGCCGATCGAACTGACGGGTATTTGAAAAGGGGTGCCAAAGAAGATGAAACACTGAGCAACCCAATTCTTTGAATCAAAGAAAATTTCTTTACCCTCATTCCATTAAATATTTTCTTATGAGTAAAAAAATATAAGTTAATTGAAAATAATATTAAATTTTCTTTTTTTAATTACGAATTTCTCATTTAGTTGTACGAAAGATTTTTTTGGATCGACTAAATTTGTTTCAATTAAAAGAAAATATTCAACGGAATGAGGGTAAATAAATTTTCTTT